AGATACTCAACTTGTTCCAAACCAAAAAAAACACTTGCTCAGTCTTGCAAACAACTGGTTGTCTTGCAAAATCTGCAATACCACCTCCAGATGTTGTAAATGATCTTGCCAACAAAGGTTGTACACTAGTATATCATCAAAAAAAATAAGAACAAATTTCCTTAAGTACGACTGGAAAATCTTGTTCATAAGGCATTGGAATGTCGCAGGGGCATTAGTCAAGCCAAAGGGCATGACCAACCATTCGTATTGCCCTTGGTGAGTGCAAAAATCAGTCTTCATTCTATCTTCAGGTCTGAGCAGGATTTCGTGATATCCAGATTGCAAGTCCAATTTAGAGAAGAACCTGGCCCCAAACAATTCATCAAGAAGTTCATCTACTGTAGGTATAGGAAAACTATCCTTGATAATAATAGCATTTAAAGCCCTGTAATCAGTGCAAAACCGCCAACCTCCATCCTTTTTTCTGACCAAAATAATTGGGGACAAGAAAGGACTTGTGTTAGGTTGTATGATACCCTCCTCTAGCATTTCATGCACCATCTTCTCTATTTGATTCTTCTGGCTATGTGGATATCTATACGGCCTAACCTTTACTGGACCCGCTCCCTCCACCAAGCTAATTGCATGATCTTGATCCCTCCTTAGAGGTAGACCCACTGGTACTTCAAAGACTCTCCTGTAACTATGCAGGAGCAACGCCAACTCTGGTTCTAAGTTGTCAGGCAGACCCTGCAACTGATCCTTAGGAGAATTAGGAACTTCCAATTGCAGCATATACACCTTCAATAGCATCAATATGTTGCAACCTTCTAAATTGATGAAACTGAGCATGACTAGCTATCCCTGTATGTTGGCCTACCAGAGTTACAAATTGACCGTCCACTAGAAATTTCAAAGTCAACGAACTGTAGTCAGCCACATGAGGACCTAATGTAGCTTGCCAAGACGCCCCCAACACTAAATCAGCTCCAGTTATAGGCAGAAGGTAAGCAGATAAATGTAGCATGCGACCCTGTACTTTCACCTGGAGATCTCGCACACATCCTTCTGCTGTCAATGTGCCACCATTTCCAACCAAAACCTGAAACTTAGTAGCAGGTTCTATAGGAAATTTTAAACAATGAGCTATTCTTGGCTGAATAAAATTGTCACTACTACCACATCTAATAAAATCTATACTTGCAACCCACCAATTAATCCTTGAAATCTAATAGTTCCCACCGTGTTAGCTCCTTTTAACGCATTAAAAGACAAATGATGCTCCACCCGCAACTCATATGTCACTTCCTCATTTCCCAACACTGGTTCTTCATGTTCCTCATTACCCTCAAATTGCAACAATAAATACTGTTTATTCGGGCATCTATGAGAAGGGCTGAATTTAGCATCACAAGTAAAACATAATCCTTTTTCCCTCCTAATCTGCATCTCTGCCACAGACATTCTCTTCACATTACTATTGTTAACAGATTGTGCCAAGGGTTTTATATTGGGAGTAGGTAACAAAGGTGGTAAATTCGACTTATTATTCTGGCTTGTGTTTAAAATAAAGCTTGTGTTGGGGTTGGCACTCGAATAAGATGGCTTCGTGTTTGATTTGTAAGAATTATTTCCACTGAAACTATACTGTTTCCTTCCATAATTGTCTTCATATAACCTCGCTAATGCAACAGCCCGAATTAAAGAACTAGGACAGTGAGCAAGAACATCTCTTTTCACATCAGGTTTCAGACCACTTACAAAACAGTCAAGCAAAGCATCATGTGAAATCCCACATACACAATTAACTAAGGAGGTGAATTCAGCATAGTATTCACTTACCGAATTTAACTGTTGTAACTTGAATAATGCCACTCTAGCACACTCAAATGGTGAAGGTCCATACTCCGTTTCCAATGCTTCCGTGAACTCCTTCCAAGAGCGAAAGGGCTGTGATCTTAACATCATCTGAAACCATGGGACCACCCCCTTTTCCAGGTGCATCGCCACAATTGTCAACCTCTGCGTCTTCGGTGTTTTGTAAAATTCAAAGAATTGCTCTGCTTTAAAAATCCAATTCAATACTTCCGTACCGTCAAATCTTGGAAAGTCCAATTTCACACTTCGAGATTGAAATGGCGGTGTAGGAGATCTTTCCTCGTTGAAACTTGATTCGCCATTTGATCTTCCCGATTGCATCTCCAATAACATAGCTTCAACCCTTTCGTACCGAATCCGATTTTGTTCATCGCGAATCTGTGCCTCACGCTCACGTTGCTCCACCAAGTCTGCTAGCTTCTGAATTTCGCTTTGCCATTCACTGTGCGACTCCTTAGATCGAGTATTATCCGCAATCGCCATTAGGGCTCTCAACGAAAGCACCAATGTAAGGCCCCCTTGATCTGAGTATCGAAAGAAACCGAGTAGAATAACAAAAGAATCATTTATTTACTTTTTTATAAAGGAAGCTCAACAATACAAGAAGAAATCTATGGAATCTCCATAGCCAACAGAGGGAAGGAAAAGAAAAGAAACTATCTCTTACAAGATCCTCTAAGAAGGAAGAACAACAAGACTCAACAACGCTTACTGACTTAGATCTTTTCTATTTATACACTTCACTAAAGATCTCTCAACCTCACATTCTGTAACCGTTTCCTCTTACTTCTTTGCTCCAATCCTACAGTTGCGTTAGAAGCCATGTGACCAGAATGTTCCACCACTTGTTCTGAGTCTTCCACGTGTCCAGCTGATAGCTCATGTGTTTCCTCCTGCTGACTCAGCTCTCTTTCATCTGGACTCATAGCAATACGCTTTATTTTTACTTATCTCAATAATGTCAATTAAATCAATGATCCTCCTGTATTGTAGCAACTTATCAGTGTCTAATCTCGTTGATGACCTAAAACTTTTTCACCTGAAATGAATATAATTAGTTTTCATACCTACAAATTGAATATATATAAATTAAAAAAATTAAAATATTCACAAATATATGTACCTTAATGTTAGTGAAAAAATGAGTGAATGATGGTGTCAAAGAGTCAATTGAGGTATTTTGTACCATACCCGAGACTGTAGAAGAGATAAACAACCTGCAATCTCAATGCTATTGTATTTCACCATACAACAAAGCTCACGATAAAGAGATCCTAGAACAATTGACCCCAATTATAATTTGTAATCCTAATAAAAATCAGTAAGAAAAGGGAGTCACTTCATATAAACCTTAAATCTTAATTTGTCTGGAAACAATGCCCCCACTCACGAGGAGTCCATCCACACACAAGTCTAGTTGAAACACAACATCCTCCAATATGATCATATATTCTCTATATGGAAGATAAAATGTGTGACTCAAGCTTTCAACGCTCTACAAGTACACTAATGAGTGTCTTATCATATTTGAATATTCAGACCATCTATATAACATGCTAAAAATCAGCCTAAGAAATGATTTTATCTTTATATTTAAAGTGATTATCATATTATAGCTATTACTTTTTAAAATTCGAATATCATATACAATTATATATATATATATATATATAACAAGTGTGTTCACCAAAACTAAAAATTATATCAAAAATTTACTTACTATTTTGTTCATATACAATATGAAATTTAAATAAATACATTACCACATAATTAAACTTAAATTAACTACATCAATAAATTTAACAAAAAGTAAGATTTAATTTATTACATCTTTTGTGAATTATAACAAACTACGCAAAGTTGTAAAACTAAAATTTATCAAAAATTTATACTTAAAATGATATATTAAAATAAAATTATCTTATATATATTAAAATAAGTAAATAAATTATTACCGTTACGAAACTAAATTAAAACTCTTAAAATATATTTAACATTTACTAAATTTAAATTTATTTAAATTCACTAAGTTGCTATGTAAATGTTTGCTTCTTTAAAATTATAATTATTTAATTTATTGCACCAGATAGTAAAAATCCTAATATATGATACACTGTTGTATTGTATAACTGTTGTATAATTCAACAATGTATTTGCGTAATCGGTGACCTCGTCCCTTAAAGCTAAATGGCACTGTTATATGCAGTATTTTATTCTTTTCTATTATTTTTAAATTAAAATTAGAATTTTATTATAAAATCAATATTAATATTTAACACTAATATTTACAATACTGAAGTAAAATTAAAATTTAAAATTAAAATTAATATTTAAAATATTTAGATTATTCGCATCTAAATTTTGTCTAAAATGAAACTGGCCACTAATAAATGTCTAAGATTTCAAATGTTAATAATTCATATCATTATTTTCTTTATACCAAATGAGAGTTTTTTCGTAATCCAAATAGAAGGTATTCTCGAATGCTTGTTTATTTAAATGGTAAATAATAACTTAGGTTTGCTTGTTTCTATTTTATTTTTTTATTCTTAAAATTCTATTTTAAAAAAATTATTTTTAAGAAGAAAATGAAAATAAAATTTATGTTAATAAACAAATATTATTTTATTCTACTTAATAAAATGTTTTTAAAAATAAAAAACGAACTCTTTTCGAAAATTATATATTAATTTGACGTTTGATTAAATTAATCTCAATGAACTGAACAATAAATCGTGTAGAAGACGTAGTTGATTCCAACTATAAAACAGACACTATATTAAGTTCTACATATTATATTACGTTAATAGTTATGCTCCCCCATGACGTTTAGTTAGTGTTTCGCAATTAATTATGCTACATACACAAAACGTTGGCACACGAGCTCCTGCTTAAGCTCGGTCAGGCATCGACATTCATTTGTAATTTTTCAACACAAATAACGGTAAATACGTTGTATAGGTTTTTTAATTTAGATATAATGTAGTCAATTGTAGATGCGCAATTCACATTCAATATAATTCAAGTAGTTGCTTCGTTAGTGCAACTACAATAGCATAATTGTTTATTAATAAATCATCACTGGTTAATCGGGCACACATAAACACCAAACATTACTTATAACTAAATTCAAAAAGAGATTAAAGAAAAAGTAGACAAAACTTTCTTATAAATTAAATGCAATTAAAACATCCTTCAGCAGCAAAGGAATGGACTAAAACCCTATAGCTGCTTTGTGAAAATAGACTCTTAACATCAAAGCAAAAACAATAAACTCAAAAACAAACTGCAATGAAAATTGACCACCGCCGATCAAGAACCCAGTTTTGAAGTCTATGGCTGCAAGAAATCGGCAGAAACTTGAAAATTAAACTGGAAAAACAAACACCTAAGACTCTCCGAAGACAAACTACTATAAAGGGAAGAGTTTTTCTGGTAACTGCCAGATCACTTCTTCTTCTGTGCGGCCTTGGTGACCTTGGCTCCGGTGGGGTCTTTCTTCTCCACACTCTTGATGACTCCGACAGCGACGGTTTGACGCATGTCCCTCACGGCAAAACGACCAAGGGGAGGATACTCGGAGAAAGTTTCAACCACCATGGGCTTGGTGGGAATCATCTTAACGAAACCTGCATCACCATTCTTCAAAAATTTGGGCTCCTTCTCGAGCTCCTTACCAGAACGCCTGTCAATCTTGGTGACGAGTTCCGCAAACTTGACAGCAATGTGAGAAGTGTGGCAGTCGAGCACTGGTGCGTATCCATTTCCGATCTGGCCAGGGTGGTTCATGATAATGACTTGGGAAGTGAAGTTGGCAGCTTCCTTGGCAGGGTCATCCTTAGAGTTGGAGGCAACGAAACCACGCTTGAGATCCTTGACTGCAACGTTCTTCACGTTGAATCCAACATTGTCACCAGGAAGAGCCTCTTGGAGAGCCTCATGGTGCATCTCCACAGACTTAACTTCAGTTGTCAGTCCAGTGGGGCCAAAAGTCACAACCATACCGGGCTTCAAGATACCAGTCTCAACACGTCCCACTGGCACGGTACCAATACCACCAATCTTGTAGACGTCCTGCAAGGGAAGCCTGAGAGGCTTGTCTGAGGGTCTCTTGGGCTCGTTGATCTGGTCAAGAGCATCAAGGAGGGTGGGGCCCTTGTACCAGTCAAGGTTGGTGGACCTTTCAATCATGTTGTCACCCTCGAAACCAGAGATGGGAACGAAGGGAATTTTGTCTGGGTTGTAACCAACCTTCTTCAAGTAGGATGAGACTTCCTTCACAATTTCATCGTACCTAGCCTTGGAGTACTTGGGGGTAGTGGCATCCATCTGAAACAATGATTGTGGGCAAAGTCAATAAACCTGAACTTAAAAATAACCAGGATCCCATGAAACCAATTTAAACTAAGACAATTTATACCTTGTTGCAACAACAGATCATCTGCTTTACACCAAGAGTGAAAGCAAGCAGCGCATGCTCACGAGTCTGTCCATCCTTGGAAATACCAGCTTCAAAACCACCAGTTGTGGAATCAATGATGAGGACAGCACAGTCAGCTTGCGATGTTCCAGTAATCATGTTCTTGATAAAGTCACGATGTCCAGGTGCATCAATGACTGTGCAGTAATACTTGGTTGTTTCAAATTTCCACAAAGCAATATCGATGGTAATTCCTCTTTCACGCTCAGCCTTGAGCTTGTCAAGCACCCAAGCATATTTGAATGACCTCTTGTTCATCTCAGCAGCTTCTTTCTCGAACCTCTCAATAACACGCTTGTCAATACCTCCAAGCTTGTAGATCAAGTGACCAGTGGTTGTTGACTTCCCAGAGTCGACATGTCCAATGACGACAATGTTAATGTGAACCTTCTCCTTACCCATGACGACTTAAACTGCAATAATTCAAGAGAGAACGGTCAGAACACACAATAACTAATGCATAATTGATCACACAAAACTACCAATATAGAAGCCAACTTGGCACATTTATAACACAAATATATCAAACAGTAGCAAACATCAAAACTAACAGAGATACCTTTCAATATGTAATAAAAGACAAACCCATCACAAAACATGGAATCCTGTCCACAATGTTTCAATCAAGCAAAGGAAACCAAGCATTGAAAATTATATTTCAAAAAATTTAAAAAGAAATTAAATAAGTATATTATCTGGATCCAAAATGTTAGCACATAATGAAAGAAAAAGGTTCCTTATATGACATAGCAAACAAACACCATGAGATAAAAATTTCTAAACAAGAAAACATTAAAAAAATAACTCTTAATCGTATAAATATCAGCAAAAACATATAATCAACACTCATACAATATAAAAGAATAATATTTTCATAATATAAAAGAACATCAACAAAAATCCCAGTCCTGTCACAACAGATCCATAACCAAACCGCCAAAATACCATAAGCTCATAAATTCTCAAACGTAGCCGCAAGATTGTAAGACAGAAAAAACAGATCTGTAAATGCAACAAGAGGATTCAACACCGAAACAAACAAAAACTCAAGAACCTCTTCCGATTAATCGGTTTCAAAGGCCAAAAGAATCCTCACAAATCGTATCACAAACACACAACCAAAAAAGCAATTGAACATTCAAAACAAAACATGCAAATTAAAATAGAAAAATAACAAAGAAAGATCCAAAGAAAATCATGAAAGACAGACATGAATCGAATCAAAGGGACAAGAGTCGAAGCATGTTACCTCAAAGAGAAACGAAGGCTGCTCGTTCGTTCAGAATCCTCAGCCGCAAAGACACAGACTGAGCGATAGAGAGAACAAGTAGAGTGATAATGAGAACTAGGGTTCAGAGATTTTTATATTGGAGGAGATACTTTTTGTTTCCGATAATACCCTTCGCCATCTTTTGAATTTCCTCATATGCACCGCTTTGCTTATTTGAGCGTAACCGTGTTCCACTCTCATCAAATGGTGCGTGGCTATCACGCTTATTGGTTTATTGTGTCTTTCACTCTTTTGCGTGTTTTGCTGCCACGCGCGCTTAATTTGCGTGGATTTCGTGTTTTGTGGGTTTGATATAGTCCAGTTGGCAAGGACGGAATAGGAAAGTTACGCTCCCAGACGACATCGTTTTAGAAAGGTTTCAATGTGTAACGATATCGTTTCATATCACGTTCGAACCCTTGCCAAAATTGTGATTTAAGAAAATCAAATCGAATATAGTTTGTTAAATAAGATTCCATTAATTTAAAGTTTGGATACGGAAAATTAAAGTTCAAATTTTAAACAAACTACAACTTTACTTTTTAAAATAATTGATAGAAATTTTTTAAAACAGAATTAAATTAAAAATGTATTAAATGTTTTTTGATAAATAAGAGGGACAAGTCTTCAAATTATTTCTTTAGGTTTAAAAGCAATAACTTTATGATTTGTAAAAAATATATTTTTAAAAATAATGTAAAATAAAAAATATTTTATGTTAAGTTATAAATATTTTTATTTTATTTTGATAAAAAATTTATAAAAACAATTTTGAAAGAATAAATATGAACAATTCAAAAATTTAAAATTTAATAAAGATATTTTTTCTAAAAAATATTCTCTAACTCGCTGACTATTTTCTCTCTCCTTTACACAAGCGATTATTTTGAAAACAAAGAAACTCTTGTCTGTTTCTTTGGACTTATCAATTTCTAGAAAACGGTTAAAAGGAAAATTCGATCTAAAAAAACTGATAAATTATTTAAGTGTTTATAATTTAAAAACTAAAATAAAAAAATCCTGCTCTCTATTGAATCAAATTTACACATGTGGTAATTAAAATGTGCAGAAAACTAATTTTTATATATAATTTGTGGATATTTATTTTTAAATAAAAGTATTTTTTAAAAATTCTAAAACAAAAGAAATTTTAAGGATTAATTCTGATTTTATCATTTCAAGTAATTTTATACGTTAAACAATAAATTTTAATTTAATATTAATTTTTTATAATTTATTTTTTAATCAAGTGATATTATAAAAAAATATTAAACATTAAAATAAAGGTATTTGATAAAATATCAAATAATTTTAAAAAAATTAATATTGTTTATTTTAAATTATATAAATTGTTGTCAACTTATATTTAATATAATTTTTTATTTAAACAATTAAACTCGTAAAATTTAGTGTTTAAAAATTATCATTTTAAATAGAGTAGATTATTAAAATTTTGCTCTTAAATATATATATATATATATATATATATATGTATGGATATATTTGATAAAATATATATTACATTTATTTGATAAAATATGAAATAACTTTAAAAATTATTAATATTTTTACTTTCAAAATATGTAAAATTTTGGCAACTTGTAGATTTTTAATTGAATGATTAAATTTAATATTTAAAAGAGTTATTATTAAAAATAGTAAAATATGAAAAAATTACTCTTAAAATAAATGGATCCCTTATGCAATATGTTATGATCGATGTTTTTATAAATCATCTTTTGATTAGTTAAATTTAAAATAAATTTTACTAACAACAACTAATTTATAGCAAAAAGTAGGTTAATTATTTGTTTAGAGTATTTGTAAAATAGTAATTTATTCATATTACATGGACATTCATTAAATAATTTTTTATACTACATTAAGTGATTTTTTACAATTTATAATTCTCTTGACAAATTATCTATTGAAAAAATAACAAATTGAGAATAATTTTTGTTTTTGCATATTTTAAATATAATATTGACAAAATTAAAAGTATCTTTTTACATATTAACTATTCAGAAACTGAAAAATGAGTATGCATTCATACCACAAACATTTCATTTCAACACGTTTTTTGTTAAAATGAAGTGACGTAGAAGAACTATTTATTTATATCCACAAGATATTTTTTTAAAATTTAAATATGATTTACGTATTATTAATATGTCTAAATATATAAAAATATAAGAATATGCAATACAAACGAGTTACTCGTACTTTAATCTAATTAGGAAGAACTACTCTAATACTAAATTATAACATTTTTATTTTTATTATTAAATTTGTAAAATAATTTATATCAAAAAAAAGAAATAAAATGAATTTATTTATGCTCTTAATACAAAAATTTAAAATTTTCACTTTCATTACTTAAGTTATAAAATGTACCATTATTCAAAATGATAAAAGATAGATATTTATCAATATGTTTACTTACAAAAAAAATTTACACTAAATCTATAAGAAAATATACATATATTAACTTTTGTTTAGTTACAAGAATTTGATAAGTACATACTATGACTCTAAAAATACATTAAGACTTATTTACATAATTTATATAAGAATCAAAATAGCCTAAGTTCTAATGAGCAGTTTGTTTTCATACCAAAATACTGAGAACGCGATCTTAGTCGTTACCCCAAACCAGCTTTCTATCTCAACTAGTTGTTTTGGTGTATCCTCATCATCACCAAGATTTTTGGTATTAACTATGATCTTAGTGTCACCTCTTTCTCTAAGATAAATCAAACTGATCTTTTAAAATAATCATGATCATGGAAGATATATACAAAATTTACGGCTACTAATTTTCTAATTGTTCTTTCTCTCTCTCTCTCTCTCTATATATATATATATATATATATATATGTATGTATGTATGTATATATATATATATATATGTGTGTGTGTGTGTGTGTGTGTGTGTATAAACTAAGAGTATGGTGAATCATATTATTGATAGGGTAATCAAAATTACCTTATCGTCATTTCTAACATAAAAATGTCTCATGATTTACTATTAATATTTACAACAAATTTACAATAGCAAATACACTGTCATTCTCTAAATACATAGTTTAATCTAATGCTTACTACCCACTCAAATAATCTAACGAGTCTTTGGGGATTAGTCATCCTACTTTCTTGAAATATTTAGTAAGGATTGTTAAGGATAAAATTCGTTGAATCAATTATTCATTTCTATCACGTGTATTGGAGAGTTAGTTATCCTTCTACCTTACCAAAATTCTGTTAATTAGCTGAAGAAAACAATCTTTATATTCATCCTTGCATTAACTGTTTAGTAGAGAAGATTTTGATATATTCATTAGTATCTTTTATCTCTACCTCTAAACTCAAACATGGTATCAAGAGCCTAAGAGGTTCAGCCATGGCTTCCGCATCATCATCAGCTTTTACCCTTCACACTTTTCAAACACCAATTTCGTTGAAACTTGATGATGAAAACTTTCTCATTTGGCAACAACAGGTTCTTGCGACTATTAGGGGTTTAAAACTCACAAAATTTCTTTAGAAAGATGATGTTCCCACAAATTTTGCAAGTAAAGAAGATAAGGTTAGTGGCAAGACCAATGAAGAATACCACAATTTTGAACAGCAAGACCAGTTATTCATAGCATGGCTCCTTACGTCAATGACCTCCCCCATCTTAACAAAGATGGTTGGTCTTGTTCGTGCACATCAGATATGGACACGTTTAGAGGTATATTATGCCTCTCAAACCCGTGCGAAGGTCAAGAAATTAAAATCTCAGTTACGTATAGTGAAGAAAGATAGAACAGTGAATGAATATCTCCTTGATATAAAGAAAATAGTAGATTCTCTTGTCACTATTGGTTCTTCGATCTCAGAAGAAGATCATATTGTAGCTATTCTTGATGGATTACCAGAGGAGTTCGATTCCTTTGTTACCTTAGTCACGTCTCGTTTTGATCCTTACATCGTGGATGATATTGAAGCTCTTTTGATGGCTCAAGAAGAACACTTTGATAGACATAAAAAGAATGACACGCCTTTGGTCCATGCTAACATGGTTACAGATTCTTCAAATTTTCTAAATTCTAGATCTCATCATGGCAGAGCTGGCTTCTCAAATCACGGAGGTAGATTCCATAATCATTACAATTCACAAAGAGGTGATAGCTCTACCAATGGCAGAGGGTATGGCCAAAACAATTTGAATCATTCACAACAAAATTCTTGGAGCAATCCAAAGCCACAATGCCAAATTTGTGGTAAAGCTGGACACTTAGCCATTTATTGTTGCCATAGATTTAATCAAGAGTTCCAGAGATCAGCCCAAGTCCATCATTCTCATTTCAATAGTCAAGCCTATGTTGTTTCAGATTCACTCTCTTTAGTCACTCCTTCTACAGTTGTTGATCCTCTATGGTATCCAGACAATGGAGCATCCCATCACATTACTCATGATGACAACACCATGTCTATAAAATCTATATATACAGGTTCAGATTCAGTAAAAATCGGTAATGGTTCAGGTTTGAAAATTAATCATGTTAGACAAATAAAATTTTATGTTTCTAATTCTTCACAACAATTTGTTTTAAATCAATTGCTCCATGTTCCTTCTATTTCTAAAAACTTAGTAAGTGTTTCCAAGTTTGCTCTTGATAATAATGTTTATTTTAAATTTTTTCCTCACTATTGTAATGTGAAACACCAGGATACCAAGGAGATTCTACTACAAGGCAAGCTTAACAATGGTTTATATGTCTTTCCTCAGTTCGACACTGTTAGTTCTTGTTCTGCTTTTCATTCTGTCTGAGACACTCAATCAAAACCCTTAGAGCTTTGGCATTCAAGACTTGGACATCTTTCAACTCGAGTAGTTCGGTCTATCTTAAGATCTTGTAATATACAAAGCAATGAAAATTTTTTCAGTGTCAATCTTGTCGTTTAGGAAAGTCTCATCAGTTGCCTTTTGTTTCCTCCAATTTTGTCTATACTAATCCATTAGATCTTACTTTTACAGATATTTGGGGTCCTTCCCCTATTCCTTCGTCTAATGGAAGCAGA